TGTGCGCCCCTTACCGTTCTCGCTCAGTCTTTCAACGGCTGGGAAGGCAGTCGTAGAAACGAAGCCTATCGCCACGCCGACCATCAAATACGAGATTGGGCCCCTTCACAAAGATTTGATGGAATGGCCCACCCCACCCAAGAGCGCTTATGTCATAGGGGAACTCATGGCCGGAAACAATCCTTATGGTTTATTTTGATATCCGGTAGGAATAATAAAAAAAAAGTCCAGGTTGGTTGGTGAGCCTAGTGATAGGAGACTATCTAGCTTGGTTCGGAGAGCACTTGTTGGGTTAAATATTTATTTGTTGCTAAATGTTACGGCCTAAATGCTGAACTATCGACCCTACTTGTTCGGATGGGTGTTCACCCCAAAGTGTTCCCGGACCGCATGCATACATCCGTAAGTAACTTAGTGCAACATGGAAAATTTCATTGAGAGGAATCAGCAAAGAAAAGAAAAACGGGTCAACATCAACATGTGTATTTGAGAGATTGTCCTCGGGCTGAGGAGTGTCCACATGAGTTCGTTGAGGTGTTTGCACAGGCCTGTGGTCCTCTTTTATATTCTGTCGAGAGTTCGGATTGCTCCACCTAAGTAGAACGAAAAGAAGGAATTGGAAAAGAGAAGGGGGAGCTATTGTGAAGCCTAGAAAGGCGGAAGCGGAAAATCGCTTATACCGAGTTCCCCAACAGCAGCTTAGCTTAGTAGCAACACTCTTTCTACTGGCGTGGCGCTGCTGGATGCTTCTGATCAATAGAACACGAAGAGGGAAAAAAAAGCTTATGATGAGCATCTATTTGAGTCGATCATTTCCAAGATCTAATTCCAGTTTTTTCTTATGTAGTGGAAACGCCTTACAATCTGAAGTTTTACGCTTAAGGGAAGAAATGTTCTTGGTGGATGCAGGACTTGGGACCCCCAAAATTTGTATGCAAGATGAGCCTACAGGAGTGCCAATCAACCGAGCCACCAGGTTTGAGAATAAGGTAGGATTCCTGGATCTAGTGGCCGGTGAATCACTGATCAAAGAGCAGATTTTAGAGAGATTCTTTATCGATCTAGTGGCCAGTGAATCACTGATCAAAGAGCGAGCAGCCGAACCTTCGCATCTACTCCCTCTTAGAGGATGAACCACGCCTTCGCTATCGCAAGAATATAGCGATCGAAGTGCTATGGCTCAGCTGCTTCGCGTATTACACCGTATTGCCCGAAGGGGGCATGCTGCAAGAGCGTAGGTGAGTGATAAGCATAGGAGGCGTGCCCGAAGGGCAGCGGCAGCAGTGTGGTTCCAGATGCCGTCGCTAGATTGAGATCTGCAGGGTGGCGGGTACTTCGACTGCCTTGTATCAGGTGAAGAGAAGGGGGTGGTAGGCTTAGTAGGGCTCGAACCTACAATATCACCGTTATGAGCGGTACGTTTCAACCAATTAAACTATAAGCCCCTACGGATCTCTACATGCAATTCGCTCACTTCGGGAAGAGCGGACGGAAAGAGAAGGCCTTTGTCCTATCTGCTTCTTCCTCTTCCCAGGAATGAAGAAATTAAAAAAAAATGATTTTCTTTATTTTCGTTTTTTATTTTTGTTTATAGATAGATATATAATATAATATTATCTATCTATTATTATTATATATATAAATAATATTAAGCAAGCGGCCCTTTCGCGACTCAAACAGCCGGTACGCTTTCCGGCTCAAACGGGCGGGGGCTTTCTATTTGCTTGCAATGCCGGCTGTTCGCCTTTAGTTAGAAGTAGAAGTAGAGGGCGCCGTTTGCCCCACACTTCAGAAAAAGTAAAAAAGTATGGATGAAGTAAAAAAAAGTACATAAGGAGTGAGAAAGAAAAACTTGGTTACGGGAACCGAAGGTTAGGCCGACTACTTTAGTAGAGCAACACCTAAAAAAGTTGATTCCTACCCCTTACCCTTTCTTTCAATGTTGCCAATTCCCAGAATACTAATGTACCCTCGTGTATACAGTTGTCCAACAACTTTCTTCCTCCGACTTCTTTAGCCACTTCCGCATCTGTCGTATTCGGGAAAGCTTGCTTCGTGGCGGAGCATTTAGCAATGCCAGCAGCCTGGTGAGGGCTGGCTGTCTGAGGACAGGTTAAGGCAGGGCCTGCTGGGCTTGCTTCTCATGAGATTGGGTGAGGGAATCAGAAAGGGTCTCAAAAACCGGGCGGGCGGGCTTTTGGGCACACGGAAAAATGGAAGTGGGTGGAGGGTGCTTCTCAGCTAGAGTTGGGGGTGGGGTCGCTATAGTGGCTAGGGTGAGTCTTCCTACACGGCTGGACGCCCGGTTCTAGACAAAGCTGCAGGGGTTACCACCACATCCTTTCCCGATAGACTTGAAGTTCTTCATAGGCAGGCGGGGTAGAAAATCTTCTCTCAAAAAGAGACAGACCAGAGATGACAGAGGAAGGTATTCGGTTCAAAAAAGATACGGCAGTCAGAACAGCTTCAGTCCAAAATTGACTAAGGACAGAAGCAAGCTACAAGCCTTAGCAACCGCTTTCCTGCGGACCTTATGTAAAAAAAAAGCAGCGAAGAAAACAAGACACTAAGTTGTTGCGCTAACTCGCTAGCGCTAGCGCACTACGGCTTTTCAGCCTCCTGCAGGTCCCTTCATTCCCTCCGCCTTACACGGACTTAAAAGAGTACCTAAGGCGGATTAGTGGTTTATTTTCAAAAGGGATTTTATTTACCGTAGCTTTTAGACAGCTAACAGCTAAGCCACTAATCATACAGCTAATAAAATAAAGTCGGTCACTACTGAGACAGCTCATAAAAGTCGTTTCAGGTTCAAGGGCTAAAGCTTCTCTTAGGAGAATCCCTTCGCTACACTCGACTTAAAGGCACCTACGAACTCACTCATAAGGAAACTCATCAAGTAGGTCTTTCGAGTCTTTCAAGTACTGGCGAAGCTTTAATTGAAGACCTTTCAGTGCCCTTTCGTTTGGTCCCCTGGGTACCTTCTCCGCACTTACAGGTAAGCATTTCAAGTAGATAAGATCATAAAAGAAGAAATGGGAAGGAGTACTGCCATTATGCGCTATTATTTTAATCCGAAAGTCAATCATTCCCAGCTTTGATATGAAGGTATGGGGGAGATCAAAAGGGAGTATGTTAGTCAAATAGAGGGCTCTCACGGGGGTGTATCCACGGCTTTAGCCTTAAGCTAGGTTGGGCTGTAGTTCTTGTATTGGGCGAACCCAAGCGTTAAATAGCGCCGTTTAGTGGCGTGCAGGGAGTAGTCGTTTTGTTGCTGGTAGGTGTGACTATGTGAGTTGACAACAATACACCGCGATATGTGTGAGTCAAGATTTTACTTAGTGATCCGAAGAAGCAATTTGAATAGCTGCAGACTGGTTTCCTCCCATTTACCCTCACTGATGCGTATTTCCTACCATTGAAGAAAATAGAGAAAACAGCTAATCCCACCCACGTCGTAAACGGATGCCCTACCTGATCCATTTCAAATCCAGCCGGAGGTCATCGAGCCTTGTACGAACTAAAGTCCTAAAGAAAAGCGACCCCAATCCCTCCCCAGCCCAGGTCAAAGGTTTTCCTGCCCTTTTTTTTCAGGGGCAGAGTCAAGTTCGTTATGGTCAGCAAATCAGCCCCGCATCGTATCGATAGCGATTCAGATCACCTCCCCAAGCCTGCCTAACCTAATTGTGTGTGAGCAATCAATCGTGACAAGTCGACCGATCTATAATGAAAGCACCTACAGATAGAAGCCGTTTGCCGACCGTTGGACTCATCCTCAATGCCGTTTAGGCTCTCCGGTTAAGTCGGTTGTCCGCCGCCTTTCTTTCCCATGCCCGAGATGGCCTTATGGTCAACTTCTATTCTTCTTGTTGGAAAGTTCGTCCGGATCTCTTCCCGGGTCAACCCACTCAATATCCGAGAGAGGGTAGGCTTTTGGCGGCCGCAGAGACGGCGGATAAGGCAGCGGATGATACGTACTTGGAAATAAGCAGATCATAGATAAGTTTTTTCATGCCTCGACTCTCCCTCGGTTCGTTCGGAAATCATGGTAGTCTTTTCATGGAGATTATTGGGAACGGAAATGTGCCTGGGGTTAAGAACAACGACAAAACTGCCTTCTGTCTGTTGCCATGGAATGTATAGGTAGGGATTGTTTTATGCTTGGAAAGCCCGTTCCGCGCTCTCTATCCCCTTTTTTGGGGGTCCCCATGAACCGCTTTTTAGTATTCGTGTTCGCCTTCTTTCTTCCTTCCCTTCCACACGGAAGGATCATGGGGTTCTCCCAACATACATATCCGGGGGTGCAACTGTTTAGTAGGCAAGGATCGGAACGGGCGGATCCCAGGTCGAATTCCTGATCTATTCGTTTCAGCCTTAGAGGATTGAGCTTTTTGAGTAGCACCGCACTGCGATTGAATGGCGGATTTCAATGATGAAGAGAAAAGTCTAGTTCTCTTTTCATTTGAAAGGGGAATGGATGTCTTATTGAGAGTGATTACGGAAGAACCTTTTCATAGAGGAGAGCGATAGGCCGGTTTGAAGAGCAAGCTTGAAAATAAATGGAGAGGTCATTTCATTCATAGCAGAAAAAGCGCTCACTCACTCGTATCTGAAAAGGCAGGCGGGGGGCTCTCTATCCTTAAGATNCCATGCCCGAGATGGCCTTGTGGTGAACTTCTATTCTTCTTGTTGGAAAGTTCGTCCGGATCTCTTCCCGGGTCAACCCACTCAATATCCGAGAGAGGGTAGGCTTTTGGCGGCCGCAGAGACGACGGATAAGGCAGCAGATGATACATACTTGGAAATAAGCAGATCATAGATAAGTTTTTCCATGCCTCGACTCTCCCTCGGTTCGTTCGGAAATCATGGTAGTCTTTTCATGGAGATTAATGGGAACGGACGAAAAGTAGAGGCAAGTTTCAAACATGCATGCCAGCTATAAAATACTCTAGCATAAGAGATCGGATAATAATTTATTTTTAATCACACAAAAGGGCATGCACCTGAAGATGTTTGCAAGAATGTCCTTTCACTGGAGTTTTAATATGTCTGAAGCTGTAAAAGCGAAGAAAGAGTAATCAGTAAATTTAACACACTGCAGCCAGCATCAGAAGAAGTTGAAAGGAAACAAAGAAAGCGCCTCTTTTGGGGCAAGGGCTAGTAAAAGAGGTAAATACACTTGGACTCCCCAAGGTTAATTACAACTACAATGGCTCTCTGTTTCGAAATCAAGGCTCTTAAATTGATGGCCGACTTATCTGTATGAAATGACAATGCACCCTTATTGAAAACAAATTATGTTGATGCAAAACATATAAGCTTACAAATATGCAAGGAAGTACCTTGTCTCAATCATTTCATGCCCTCATTCCTAATTCACAGACCAAAATTTTCATAAACCAAGTAGTCCTTATTCAATTAGAAAGTCTAGAGTTCAGACGAATGGAGACAATTGTCCTGAAACCTTAAAACCTTAAGGTATATTTATTTAACTCTGATTAAAATTTCACACAATTAAGATGATTATCTCTTTCTACGTGAGAGCTGACGTTTTATCTTTGATATGTTATGATCAAAATAGGTTTAAAAAACATAACATAGCCCATCAACTTACTAGAATAGCAGAATAAGGTCCAGTAGGTTCCGTTTTCTTCCTTACTTTTTTTGGACACTATTTTTTTATGATAATTGAATGGTACTGTATGTCACTCATGAGAAAAATTTATCTGATGACCTTGTTGGATACCAGAGTCAAATGTGCGACAGATAATCCTCACGTGCCCATCTTCTCAGATAATTTTCTGATATGCAGTGCATGGCGTATTCGAGGTGCGGGGGGGGGGGGGGGGGGGGTCAGTCGTTAGAAACGACGAACTTAGGTCATCAACTTACTAAAATGG